AATCTAACGGTTTTTGTTAAGATAATTGAAGTCCACGGACTTCTTGATGTAATTGTGAAGCACTTGCGCCTCTTTTACTCTGTAGTTAAGATCATTCCACACGTATCACGCAATTTGTATTAGTGTGACTACTATCCAAGGGCTCATATCTTGTATCCATTCCTGAACAGGAATCCTAGCTCGGCGTTATTCCCACAACTTTTATTTCCTAATCTCCAGTGCGGTTTTCGTAATAGACCACGTGGTGCTTAATGTAAAACTTTTATTAAGGCCATTGTGGACGGAGTTATCATCTCGATAATTGAAAAGTATCTTTAGTTTCCAGCTCCTCCTCGACTTTACGGCTATGTTGGCTAAAATTGAAATCAACTTCTCTGAAACGTGACCAATGTTTTATAGATACAAATGATATTTTTGGTAATATTATCTACAATAGATACATCTTGAATACAAATACCTCGTCTCACGTGATTTATAGCATGCAAAATGTTATTTTGGTATTGCACGTAAAACATTATACCATGTTCTTCCGTTATCACTCCTTCTGGTCGATAATTCAGTAGTAACACTAAACATTCCGGCTTTATATCATATTTAACCCAAGTTTAAAAAAATATATTTTTATACATCTTTTTTTACTGCCATTTTCGGTTTCATCACATCTATATTTTTTATGATACTTAACATTTACTTGAAGCTCAAAAATTTTAAAAAAATATTGGTCGGAATTTTCTAATATTCTATAAGTCCTATGTAAAACCAAAGAAAAACATTCTAAAAATATAAGGGCATAATATTTAATAAAACATCTCGTATCATCTGGATTTAAAAAACTGTAACTTGTGTATGTAAAGACCTCAAAGTTTTCCAATTAATAGTATTAAGGTGGAAAGGATGATCTGCCACTTATAAAGGATTAACCATGTGGAGGTATATTAACGTATTAATCAAAATATGAAAACCTAGCTATTTGTATGTTCTGGAAGTTAGGCCTTTTGCGTTTTGTTTTCTTTACCTTGCTGCAATAGTACCTTTAATGGCAGTTTTGGGATCATGACTGCAGTGAGACCGAAGACCGAAACTTCCAGTACGACACGTGCAAGTTTAAATATGTACTTCAGTGAGTGATATTTTAAATTCTTAAAAAAAAATACCTGATCAAAGACATATTATACTAATTGAAAGAATTGAAAGATTATAAATATCCTATTTGAAGCCTTGTTAAAACCCAAATTTTATTGAATATGCTCAATGATGATTTCTTCTTCTTGTTCAAGATCTTCCGATATTCAAAATAATATGTGATATTTCAGAGCAGAAAACTTATGATAGTCAGTGTAGTAAAATCTCAGCAAGAGAATACTGTAAATTTACTTTTATTATATTTACAAGCCCTGGTGATTAGGGCGCTCGACTCGCAACCTGTGGGTCTCGAGTTCGAATCCCCATCACCGAACATGCTATATGGTTGCCTGATAGGCCAGCCACCAAGATATAAAAATTCTTGACTCACAAAAAGTAACAGCCGATCCCAAACTAATTGGGATTATGATCGTTTGGGGGAAAAAGTATTTACATAGAAATGTTTGATTGTGTTTGAACTCAATGTTACTAAATGGTCTATCTGTACTTTGCTCATCACGTGGATTGAAACCCGAGTTTTTTAGCGTTATATCAGCCATCAAATTCTGAATCACTAGGAGACATGGAAATGTCAAAGATCTCATCTTATGTTTCTCTGAAAAACTTTATCGTTATAATGTAAAGACTATTAACATTGAAATATGTGAATAGTTTAATATTCATAACCCAGTGTATAAGCAATATGAAGTAGCTTTGATAATAATGGTTAGTAATTAAACAATTTGATTAGCCTTGCAAAAAAGTCTGAAAACAGTGTGGTTTTTGCGATTGTAACAAAGGTTGTATTTTATATTTATGGCAAAGCTATTGAGGTTATTTGCCACTGTCTCTAATTTTTAAGTACTAATCGGAGGGTATGCAACCAATTAGCAACACACAACCATCCACTCTTCCTGCTAAAGGATGGGCTATCTCTCTTATAACTCATCCACAGCATAAGATGCACGGAATATTCTTGTAGTATCGCACGGATTCGAACACCGTTCACCAGCTCTGAAATCCAGAGTTGTACAACAATGTCAACCCGCGATCGCAATAATGGTTGAGAATTTCTATTAACTCCAATAATACATTGACGAAAGTGGGAGAAATGCTTTCGACATTTCTATATATATATATTTAAAATAGAAGTAGAAATTCCTTTTCTGAGGCTTTTCTATTGTATTGGTTGATCACGTAAGGTTTAAAGAATCTTATGTAAATTTTATATGTTAATCGTATATAAAAAGTAGATTCAAGCAGAAATTGTACAAAGGATGAATTCGGGTAGATTTTACTGGTTAAACAAGAACAAACTTTACTGTATGCTCAATCACACGCTGGACATTCTTAACCCTAGATATGGTTTATGCTGAGCTAGATAGGAAATTCCAGAATATTTTTCAGCTCTTTTTTTTTTTCTGATAACCAACCAAATGTTGTCGATACTTTCGTTAAGACTCTCGATATCCTCGTCAATAAAAAAAATGTCTGCGTAACTATAGTATCCCAGCTAATTTATACAAATAGATCAATTGTACACTGTATTAGGGTCTCCACTTAGTTTTGGGTTTGGCCAATTTGGCTGTGATATTAAACTTGACTCACTGTTTCACAAGCTCCACAATATATTGGGATGTGTCAACCTGTGAATCATGATCTGCAATTATCGGTTCACAAGTGTCGCCAGAGAACTGAAGTGACGAATGTGATGTTAAAGTTCGCCACAAAGATTCTCAACCTGATTCATATCGGGTGATTTTGTTGACCAAATATGATGATGACTGGCGTCACTGTGGTGATCTTTGAATCAGCTAAGGAGCGTGTGGATCGTTATATTATTATTCTGTATGAGTTCTTGTCCAACAGGGTAGAAATGCAGCACTGTCTTGTAGGTATAGTCAGCAAATTATTTCAAATACACTCTGAATATTATTCGAGTTTCTGTAGGAAAGAAAGGACTAAATCCTTGTAAAAATAATCCAATTCAATTCAGGCCATCATTACAAGAATCAAGATCTTACGTGTTTTGCTCTTTACAAGCCTAACCAATTTTCTTTTCTATCTTTTTTATCAGTCTGTCACCACCTGTAATCAACCACATTTTGTCCTAGTTATAGACGTACCCTCTGTCAATTTGTATTAATCCAGCTCATGTCATATTTATTTGAATAACAGATCCAAGAATAGGTCACTGATAAAGGTGTTCCCTTTTCATATTCCAACAAGTTCAACATTCTACAAATGTGTAGGGGGGGGGGGGTACGTACAAGTATTGGCCAGTCAGTAAAGACATATTGAACTTAAGAAATCGTATACAATACATATAAATATGACTTTCAAAATAGCATGCTGCGTGACGATTATATCTAGAAAAGAAATAAACACGTCCGAAACAAAATGGTTTTTGAGCGTACACCTGATAATTTTATTGTCATTAAACACCAACATCGAAAATATATATATAACCTTTATGTTGCAAAAAAAAAAAACCTGAGTAACTGGGTATGTGGAGTAGCATTATAAAAGAAAACTTATTCAAACCACATAAGATGCAACACAATAGAGATTAGAAAATATTTTGTTTAGCTACGAACACTCTGGATTATTATCAGAATCACTCACACAAACAGTAATTGTATATATATATATTTTAAAATTCCAATACCAGCTTACCTATCATAAAAATTAAAGAATAGAAAAACAAAACAAAAACAAAATGACCTCTCAGTCTGTATATATATATATATATGTGTGTGTGTGTGTGTGTGTGTGTGTGTGTGTGTG